GCTTGATGGATGCTTGGGATGCGTGCTTCTTCCTTCTTGTCAAACTCCAATCCCACTCGCAGCCGAGGAGACTGTGGCAATCGATTGGGATATTCGTACTTTAAAAGAAGAATACGAATCAATTGAAGCCAGCAAGATGGACTTTGATGCGTCAGTCCAGCAGCATCAGCGAGAGGACAACCAACCTCTTAATTTGACACATTGTTTGGAGATATTCACAGCTAAAGAAACGATACCAGAAGCTTATTGTGGTCGCTGCAAAACGTTGCGTCCTGCTACAAAGAAAATGGATATCTGGCGCTTGCCACCGCTGCTAGTAATCCACCTTAAGCGCTTCTGCTTCACCCAAGTTTCACGTCGTAAACTGCACCATTTGGTGGACTTCCCGCTTCGAGGGCTGCAATTTGGCGACTTTGTTGCTCGAAAGCGTGACCCTCGCGGACAAATATCTGGTTTAGAATACTGGTTGTTTTTGGGTGGAAAACTAAGGGTAAATGCAAATGATCGGAAGTCTGAGTTGCTACTTAGCAGTTGCAACTCCAAACAGAAAAAAGCTAAAGCACTAGCTCGAGAATCAACGGCATTAGATGCACCAGCTGCAGCTACAGCTGTTATTCGTGGTGACGATACTTTTCTCTACGATCTGTATGCAGTTGTTAATCACGTGGGTGCGCTGGGAGGAGGACATTACTTTGCGTACGTGTTAAGTGATCACGATGGCAAGTGGAAGTGTTTCAATGACCATCAATGCAAAGATATCGACGAAAAGGAAGTCGTGTCCTCAATGGCGTACATATTATTTTATCGTAGACGGGATGTTGCCAATATGTCGATTAAGCAGCTTTTCCCGCCTTTACCCACAGATGCGACCAGCAATGGAGCCAGCACTGAAGAAGAAGCTGCGAATGATAAAATTAGAGTGGAGGAACTGATGCAACGATCCAAGTTGAGTTCTGCGGGAAATGGAAACACTTGCAATATTAGTTGATATAGCAAACATTACCCAGCGAAATTTTGTTTAAAGTATTTTGATGGAAAATTCGATGATCCTTCGTCACTTTAATTCAAATTGAAGGGGCCTCGTCGCTCTTAAGCTTTAAAAACACAAACACGTCATCATGAAGTTGTTGCAAAGATCTGCCCACAGCGCACTTCCCAGATCAAAGCCCTGCTATCAGAAACAAATCGCCTATTGAAAATACATGGTGAAAACACTCCTCATTCAACCATGGAGTACCTCTCAAAAAAGCGTGACAGTCTTCTCTTAGAGGTGCTGCAATGTGCTCACGATGAGAGTGAAGCTCGGGTAAACTCCCCTGAAACGCAGCTTCCTAGCGAGCATCAGGAAAGTGACTTTGGTGACATGAATCAGAAGTCTCGCAAGAAACAAAAGGTGGATTCTGGCGACTATCAATCTCAAATTGACACATTGCAGAAAGAAGCTGCGGAACTGAAGGATCGATTGGCCTCTCCAAAGCATCAATCTTCAAGTTTAGCCCACAAACTTGGTAAGTTGTGCATCGAAGCCAAACAGACTGCGGCCATTATGAAACGCAAATTAGCCGAGCATGCGCACTGGTTACAGCGAGTCAGCAGTTTGATGGAGACAGCCCCGCTATTGGATTTTATTGTGCCGTCAAGCGAGGGGAAAGAAAATCACTCAATATTACAAAGCAGTCTATCTGCTCTCGACAAATGGCGAGGGGAGGCAAAGCAACGTCCACACCCTCGCTTGAGATTAGACGATCGTTTACGTGCTGCTGTCACGATTTGCCAAGCAAACGCTTTTAAGCTATTGCAGGATGCCAGAGAGAAATCACCATTGTTCCAGCAATCGCTAGAGTTTGAGTCTCATGGATGGAAAATCATTACGGGAACGTTGCTTAATGACCACATTGGCTTTAGCTGCCATCGAATACTCCCCCCTGGGATGACTTGCAAGGCAAAAGAAGTGGCAATGGCATTGTGGAACTCTGTTGAGCGAGATGAAATTTTCCGCACTTTTGTGCCACTTGTACAAGATTCGATCATCACGTATCAGGAGACGGACTGTTCTCTTTCGTGCCGAGTCTTGTTGCTCTCCCAAGAGACGCCGCAGCAAGCAGTAGCGACTGTCGAAGCTATCAACTCTACTCAAGGTGAAGAGGGCCCGTGGCAAATTTCTATGGAAGCAGTACACGATCATTACCTATGCTCTTTTGTAGCAGATGCATCAGGTGACTCAGTCATGCCGAATACGTGTCCTCCTGTAAAACTTGATTTAGGGCTTCAAATGAGCAAACTTAATATGCACAACAACTTTTTGATGGGCGCTAAAGTTTCGAAGATAAAGGAAGGCGTCGACATTTTTATTGCTGGATCTGCACACTTTGATCTTCCGTACTACCGAGAGCCAACGCTTGACCTGCTGCAGCACTTTGTGTCGCACATGCCTGTGTACGAGGATCTTCATTTGACGGCACTGGTGGATTGCCACGACAAAACAGGAGCAGATGCTCTCTGACAAAATTATCGTAGATGAATTATAATTTCTATTTGTCTCAAGGTTCTCGATTTAGTCTGTTTCCGACCTCCATTTTCCCAGACGATTTCTCAACTCGATTTCTTTATCTTCGTTTTCACAAAATATAACTGGCGCACTGTGCTTAGTCGAAGAAAGAAAGGGTGCGATCATTGTCTTTGTCGATTCGGCCAGCGATTGGGATAGCCATGCGAGAAGAACATGCATTATATCGTCGTGCAGCTCACTCAAGTCAACAAGTTCTTTGGTCGAAATCTCAAACAGCGTACATTGACTAGCTGCTGAAGCCGTATCATGGGCGAATGCACTGGGCACAAAAGACTGGACCAAACGATCGCGCGCAAATGTTAGTACCCAGAAGTTTTTCTGTTATAATACCGTACCTCTTTTCCGAAGCAGTCGCTACCGTGAAGCTTAACTGATGCTGATGAGGGCGCTGCCTCACTTATTAAGTCTATTGTACCATCAATGATGATGTATACGCACTCAATTTTGGAATCAGTTGAGTACAGCACATCGCCATGGCTAAGCAGAATGACTCGCGATAGCTGGGCCACCAATGCAACCTTCTCATCATCGAGATTCCGCATCAAGTGAGAAGCCTTTAAATGTATTGACTTCTCGAATGTTGTGTACTCAGCGGGGTCTGTAAGAGTTAATAATCTCTTTGGTTTAAACGAGCCAAAGCTCGAGCTCTTCCCAGTCGGTTGTAAATTATTTACGCTCCGGCGTCTACCGATCGCGTCTGAAAGTAGAAAAGATTTTCCACGGGGAATACTTCGTGATCTGCCAACATTGTACAGAAAAGATTTTGCCGCATGATCGACAGAGAGCGCGGCTTTGATGTTGGTCGTTAGCGACTCTGTTCGCCTAAGTACCGGTTGGTTTGCGTTGTTGTCCGAAAGTGTTTGCGAGATTCTTCGATCACGACTAGGAAGGCTTCCGGATTGAGCTATTGCACGAAGTGGCTGGACAACAATGAATGTACTGAGTGCGTTATTTCTTAGAGACATCAGAGCGCTTTCTTACCTCAAAGTATAAGAGTTGAAGAGAGGAAGCCACAGCGTTCAATACTCCTCTGGAGACTTGTGGGGTTTCCTTCATCAAGGCATCGAGCTCGTCACGCGATATGCTAAGCAGAATACAATCCTCTAGTGCCGTTGCAGAGAAAATTTGAATTCCAGCGTGAAGGGGGTGCTGCAACAACGCAGCTTGGCCGATACAAGTGCCAAAATCTAAGGTAGCGAGAATTTTTTGCTCCTTGTGAAGTTGAACAGTGCCCGTCGCAACGACATACATAGCTGAAGCTGACACACAAGGTAAGAAATCCGTCGATCAATAAAGAGATTTACCTACCAATGTTGCCTTCAACCGCGAACGTTATTCCTCGCTTGACAGTCACTGGAACGAATCGGTTCGATATTACCCGAAGAATAGTGAGTGCACAAACGTTTTCGAATAATGATGACACCCGAAGACAGTTTGCCACCTGAGAATCAAATATTTGACATTCAAACCGACTAATTCATGTCAATACCAAACGCACTGCAATTCGCGAAAGTAGTGGAGAGGCACAATCTTCTAGAATGGAAATAGGCTTGTACGTAAGGCTTTTGGGACTGCACACCACGACAGAATAACCATAAGTCAATAATCAAGACCTCGCTGCCTTCGAACGGACGCACGCTTCCCTACCCATGATATGTTTCAATCAAAAGCTCCTTGGTTAGTTCGTGATTAAGCAAGTTCGGGATAATTTCATCTTGGAATGTTTGTTTCGCTGCATCACTAAGATAGCTTCCATGATTTTCTGCAATATGAAGGAAATATTGAAGAGCTAGAGCCAACAGCTCCAGCTCTGTTTCCTGGTGCATCATGACATCCAGTAGAATATCGACAGTATCTTTTCCATCGAGCAATTCTTCGACATCCTTTGTTATCTGAAAACCCATAGAGCATAAGCTTTTAGCGACAACATATTATTTTATCATATCATCTATTGGACACCTTTAATGTTGCTTTGTTTGTCGACATATCCGGGAAAAGCAGCGGAAAGACCATCCCTTTATACGACGAGGGAAGCAGACTTTCCAATACCTCCTACGGTAAATATATAACACGTCGGCTGCTAATTGCGGGACGAAAGCTAAGTTAATTATGCATATACCTGGATAGCAGAGATCACTTGGCGAGAATCTGACTGTAAGCCTTCCAAAATTACAGCGACATTAAATTCTTTGGGGAATCCCGTCGCCAGTAGCTTAAGCAATAGTCGAAGTGTATCCTTTAGACGGTGTTCAACATGTTGTAGAAGTAGAGGAGAAGTCTCTTCGATCACTGCGGCTGTACGAGGACAGATTTCAGCGAAAAGCTCTAAAACGTGACGCATTTGATAAGCTTCACGAATCTTCAGACTCAGTGTGCGGTGAATGGGATCCATCAAATGGGAAAATGAATTGACAGTCTTTTCATCCGTTGATGCAACCTATAAGATTGAGCTCAAAGGCATGATTAAGGCATTGTATTTTGCTATATTGATTCAATTACTTACCAGCACAAGTAGCGCGTCCACAATCATTTCTTCCATGATCACATCTTTTCCAACAAGATGTTGCAATAAAAACGAATTGTTTGCATTGTGCGGCAAGTCAAGAAGCGTCTCAATCAAATGCAGGAGGAACTCCAATTTGTCTTCAAAAGAAAAATCACAATAACCCAAAACTTTGAGAGCGCCTGCTAGTCGCTCTCTTTTGCTTTGAGATTGACCTGGCAAAAGCATTTGATCACAAATATCTTGATCAGGTAGCCTCAACATTTCTTCCGTGTATTGACAGAGAGGTCCCCACAAGGCAGCAGGATCAAACCTTTTCAAAGCATCAACAATCTGAGAACGGATTGTTGAATTAGAAAGATGTTTCATCAAAGCTGGGATCAGCATTCGAGATGTACGGGAACTGTTTAAGCAGCAATCTACCGCGGCTTGAACGATCTGAGTCGACGAGTGGTGAAGTAAATACACCAGGAATCCGTCACTCAAGAGCTCTGGCAACTCCTTGCCCACGATTTTCAAACCCACAACGCGCGCTTCTAAGATCTGAATGAAAACGAGCGTATTAGCTGTTGTACGTAAACTGCATCTGAATGATTCATTTGTACCTTTTCCTCGTGGAGCAATCGCTGTAAAAGCACGTTTGCCTCTTCATCTGTCCAGTCCGAAAGCCGCAATAATGCCACTGCCGAGCACACCACAATGGATTGGTCTTCATCCACACTCCGAAGCAGCTTGTAAAGTACGTCTAAACATTGTTCTACATTTACGTCAAATCTTTCGTAACCACAAGCTAATATTGCCGCGACTCGTAGCTGGCGAGGAACCGCACCAGATGTGTCCTTAATGAGCATAACTAAATCCATCGCGTTAAAAATTCCAGTGGGGAGGGTGCTGGCATCAGGAAGCAAGTAAGATTCTTGAGCATGGAGCACAAAGTCTCGCTTTGCTGTTGTGTGCAGATCTAATAAGCGTAGCTTTGTATGCATTTGTGTCAGAGATACCGCATTGCTACGGTCCTTGAAAAATAAAGCGCGCAGCTCCTGCCGTGAGTACATTCATGTGAGACCAGAGAGACAACTGAAGGCATCTTACGGTCCTACCTGGGAAAAAAGACCGATATGTTTGTGCGACAAGGAGCTCAAGACAAAATTAGCTTGAGTTTGCTCACCATTGACCAGCGTTTCTTTTACCAATAAAATCTACATCCACGTCTTCATTCAAAATCTTGCTGACAAAAAATACCTTTTCAAAAAATGGATTACCTGGTCAGGTGTGAAATCGATTAAAGGCGAAGTAAGATCCAAATAGCCTTGTCGTAAAGAGGCATAAAACTCGGAAGCGTAAGATTTCCTAGCTGCAAGTGCATCAACTATCCAGACTGCAGATGTCAAGATCATAACAACGCTAGAGCAGCAAGAGGATAGGACATGACCATTTTTTAAATTGAAGTAACATTGGCGAATTTTACCTCGACGAAAAACCTCCGAGGAAGTGAGAGACCAAGGTTGAGGTCAAAATTATCGATAACACCGCACCAAATATCCGTGACACGGAGCGGAAGGGGCCGCAAACAAAGTTTTGAAAACGACCTCGCTCGTTATCATTGAATGGCAGCCACAGCAATTGTCTCGCCGGATTGAAAATGGCTTGGGACACAGCATTGTAAAGCGCTCGAGTGAGAATAAGCGAAAACGCCGACTATTTAAGTATCACAGCCAGAAAGCTATCTTAGACCATAATGTACATACAAACATTATCGTTAAAGAAAATGCACCTACATTTGATAAAATAGTTGTGCCTCCAAAGAAAATAATAGTCACAGGGAGCATTGCAACGCCATACATGACTCCAAATCGTATGAAATAGGGTCCAGAAAGCAACTGCATCGGAATCATGAAAAAACTTTGCACCCCATTGATTAAAGACAGCGACGCCTTCACTTCTTCCTCTGGTTGTCGTGACACGATCGACAAAGTTGTATTATCTATTAAAACACGCATCACTGTAGCTAACATGTCGAATACACAAATGTGTTTCAAGTACGTCCTGGTCTGGATTTCTCGGATAATCCTAGTCGATGACGAGTCTGCAAGATCTCCATGCTTTGTCTTGTTTTGGTCTCGAAACTTTCCCACAGATGTATTTTTGTGAGTTGAAGTGGCAGCTGTAAAGTGCTCAGCTGAAATCAGTAGAACCCCAGCGATGGAAAAGAGCATTCCAGATGATACTACCAAATTAAATTCAGTGGGCAATTGATAACTTTGAATGAGCGGCAAAATCATAAAACTTGTCAATAGACTGCCAAATGTAGATCCAAATGTGATGACTCCAAAAAAACGTTTTGAATCAGCCACATCAAAAGCTTTAGCACATAAGTCCCAAAATTGTTGGGTCAGTAATTGGGTTTGCACTTCAAGCCATAAGTACAATAGAACAGATGTTGCACGAGTCAAAAATGGTGCAACTAAGGATAATAGCGTCAGAATAAGGAGCCCAACTCCTAGAACCAAGGGGCTGATGGAGTATACAATGGAAGAACGCACAGGACGTGCCGCCGCCACCTTATCGAGAAGCTGGGTCGCTAATGTCAGCGCATAGGCCGTGCTCACAGACAGGACGAGTGTGAGTGTGGCCACACTAGAGGCAGCATAGTAGCGCAAGAAGATGGCATCTCGGGAGATGGTTCCTAACACAGTGACGCAGCACTGCAGTGTCCAGAGCGCACAGAAGAAACCCACGCGCCGTAGAAGCGCCGGGTCCATGATTAACCCTTCTTCAGCCGTATGTGACAATTTAAAATGGAGTGCTTTCAATTTATCATATATCATTCATATTTTGGAACTCTACAAGTCAGGTTTTAGTGATACCAGAACATTTAGAAACGTCCATCGAGAAGCCTCTGTTTTTTTTTGCTTGTCAGATTTTTTCGAAATTCTAGTTCGCAAAACATTACTGCCGATAATTTTTTATTATTTACAAGCTATGCCCAAGATTCTCATTCAAGTTCTGACGACTATGGCAGTAATGCGCTTTGATGCAACATTTGCAATTTATCACTGAAAATCGAGAACTGTTACATCCTGTTAATGTGAAGCGATAAAAATATCAGCTAAGAACTTTTCGCTAGGTAACAAGTGTGAATTGCCCAACATAGAATAATAAATACATGAAGGCATATCTGATATTCTCACTAATCTGTGATCTATTGTAAAGCACCACAACAAGATTTAACAACGTGATCCACTAGGGGCTTTTTGCTTAAATTGCAGCCTTTCGGCATCGGAGATTAACTTTGTTTTGTATATTGTATCAAGTTGCGCCGACTTGAAGACTTTTGCGTTTGTAAAACAAAATGTAAGCGGCGTTAGACTTGATCTGGTCAATCATCGCTGGTGTCACTTGACTATCATCGAATGAGTACCAACCCGGGTACATTTCGCCAACCCCATCGTTCCAACTCTTAGCGAAAGCTGTATAGTGACCGAAGCCCATGCCACCGTAGTGATTGCTTACAGCAAATAGATCATAACAAAGATGGTCCTTGTCATCGCTCTTTTCGAGACAAAACGGCGACATATCAAGACCTTCCAACGGAAAATCCACGTACACGTCCAGTTTATCCCGCAGGATTTCATTACGATACTCAAATCGCTTAAGCGAAAGCACCATCACATCTGGTAACCGCCACATTTCCATTGTTTTTCGCGCTTGTCGGTGCTCCTGACACTTACTGCAGTACCACAAGTTTGCTTGATCAAGAGTCTCCGGCTTTACAAAGTTTCGAAAACAGTCGTATAGAGAAATTCCGTCATGATGAGAGACATTTGACTTTGCACGCATGCTCTCGTGATTTACAATTCGCTCGATGTCAGGCCGGGGTGACGCTGATGACAACAGCATTGACGATGTCCAGGATACGGCAACGAACACCAAATCTTCAGACAACTCTTCATCGTGCGATGTGGCAAAGTCGATGAATTTTGCGTCGGTAGCTGGTGGAAGAGGCTCATTACGCAGAATCACGCCATCACGATTGGTCAGATAAATGCATTGAGAAAGGATGTTGGCAGGAATTTTAGCACAGGATGCTTGGGAGATGTGAGTACTGAGTAGCAAGCTCCACTTTTCCAACATCTCTGCACACGTCGTTGAAGCTGTGTACGTAAATAACAACGGATCGCCCGTCAAAGTTGGTCCCACTTTGTGGTACAGAAATCCGTAGAACGCGGACTCGTCAGCTGACTCGTGGGCAATTTGGTACATTAAAATACGGTCATCCTCTCGAAGTCTGCTTAGCCGTTCAGTATCTCTGATGGTACGGTACGTTATTGACTGGTAGATATCGGCTACCAGAAGGGAGCTTGGGCTCACGCCGCACAGTTTACTGAGCGCACACTTCAAGACAAGCACACTTCCTTTCTTGGGCACTTCGAGCAAGTACCGTGTCATACATTTACCTGCATCGCTTGGAACAAAAATGACTTCAATTGCAAGGGTTTGTCGCTGGGGTAATTCCAATTGAATGCAATTAAATGGATCAAAAGTAATTGAAATCTTGTTACAAGTTGGGCACACAACTGTTGACTTGAATTGACCCTGAATATGATCCACAAAAATACTGTCATTGCGCAGCAAATGACGTTTCCAAGCTTCCTTTGCAACAGCAGCATCATCTTGTGATCCGTCTGACTCGTTCACTTCAGTATACGGTTTGTGTTTGACGCGATTCAAGTCTTCATGCAAGCCATCGATGATATATGCAAGCAGCTCTTGCGCGTCGTGTTGCTGGAACCCTGAGAATTGTGGAGCAAAGCGACTAATTGCCCGCTTCAAATTGGCCGGAGATGTACAAGGGACTGTGCCAAACCACAAATCCTTTAGCAAGGCATCGTACTCTGCAGCCAAATTACCACCTGTTCCTAACGGATTGTCAGGATTTAAGTCTTTTTTGTACTTGTTGCTCAAAAAATAGCGTGTCAATATCTCCACGTGGCTCAAACACTGCAGCGCCGAATTCATAAAGCAAGTGTTTCCCAAATTGCGAAGGCCCATCTTACCTCGTCGTTCAGCTTGTAAACATTGCAAGATATCGTCCTCTTTTTCTTCAGCGGTAACAGTCGAACGACACACGATCTTGTGGTATTTCCAGTGCGACATTTGGCAGTTTGAGTTGCAATACCAAATCAGCCGACAACCTCCACATCGCTTAAACGTGCCGGTATGCTTTCTACACGCTCCACACATTTTTGAAATCGAGCCAGCGACGCCATCCACTTTTTGTCTCACAGGCTTTTTAGCAACGATGTTAAGGTTGTCCTCCTTCATACCGCTTGCAGCAAACTTGACTGTTTTGCATTCATCTCGCATCGGTTTATCTGACGAGTCATTTGTTGAAATTTCAGACGCTTTGTCTACTCCCTGTTCCTACAAAGGTCACTTCCGTTAAAGAAAATACAATCAGTCATAACGCTTTAAAGCTGTGCTCTGTCTTACCGGAAAGACTTGCACACGGTTAAAAGTATTGCCTAGCTTTGGGTCCCCGACTTGGACAACGAATCGAGCAATAGTTGGTCCTCCACCATACCAAACTGTGAGCGCATCCCACACCTCGAGAGGTATAAGAACGTAGTGATAATTTTCCTTTAAATGAGGCCGCAGTGGACCGCCCATAAGCTCGTCTAAGGCCGTATCCGAGCCGACATTAAGCAATGGTAGATTATTTATATGCCCGGGCGCCGGAATGTCTACACTTACAGGCACGAAGCTCTTGTCACCGTAGCCTACAAACTCGCACCAGTGCTCCCACCATTTAGCCGAAAGTAAAAAGCGTTTATCCCCAACCTGCAGTCCCTGTTGATCCGCCTGCGCCATAAGGCGCTTGACTATCTCGCACTGTTTGCTTCGATCTAGTAGCTTGTTACCGCTACTATGTTGCGAATTTTCACCCAAATCAAAGTCAAAAATACCACGAACTTGACTTGAGACAGTCACTGTGGACGTCTCGGAAGAAGAGCTGGGGATCCCGTCAAGCGCGGTGGCCGACGTCATGGATATTAATTTGTAATAAGCAATGTAGAAAATATTCTACCTTTATTGGTTTAAAATATATTAGATTCATATTTACCCTTTTCTTATTGACAAGAAATACTACCAATCTTCTCATCATCGTGTGTAGGCTCGTTAGCAAGGTGGACGCCAACGAGCCAGCTACTAAGCCGCTTGATACATGTAGCCACGACATTGTCATCTCTGGTGATATCATTGTCAACTACAAGCTCGTTGTTGGTCTCAATGGGAGGCTGAAGGAAGCCGCTATAAGGCACTGATTTTAGTGCTGCACCCTTGACGAATAACTTTCTGGGAGCATCCGCTGCGTTCTTTTCAGTATCCACACTCTCGTGGCTATCCACTACCGAAGTTGATAAGTTAACCTTTTTTATCTGTTGCTCATATATCATGCGCTCCATCGTGCCCGTGCTAACAAGTCGATATACGTGAACCGTTTTTCCTTGTCCGATACGATGTGATCGGCACATTGACTATAGTAGGTGAACAGTCACGTAAGAGATCCCAACTATCTATGATTATGATTATGCTTTTGCCTACCTGGTGATCATTCGAAGGATTCCAGCTCACGTCGAACAACACTAATCGATTTGCAGCGTGAAGATTGATGCCTTCTGCACCAGCACGTGTTGAAATCAATAGCAGCTTCACAGGAGAATCCGCCATGCTGAATCGCTTCACGTAACAAAGAGCTTATCATAACAAAATCTGATAAGATTTGAATAATTGATAGATACCTGAATGTATTCCATACGCTTGACGCTATTTGTGCTGCCGTCGATCTGCAAAAACCACTCAACGGGTAATGCACTTGACGCTGCGACGGTAGTCGTACGCTTGCGAACCTTAGCACCACAACGCTTACGTGATATCCCAGCAGGATCGCGGCTCGGACGCGAAGCAGTTTTTTGGGGTTTTGATCCGCTTTCCATCATGTGCTTTCGACCACTTAGATCAAGCAATGGACTGAAGGAACCAATTCGCAGGAAGTCAGAAATGACTTTTAGAGTTGGTACGCTTTGTGAAAAGACAACAACCTTGTCACCGCAGGCAAAACATTCTTTCACAATATGCATGAGCACTACCATTTTGCCACTATTTTCGAGCACTTGCGGTCGGTAATCACCCACCGAAAACTTCTCTGCTTGTTTGCTTAAGCCACAGATTACAGAGCGCGCCCACTCGTACGACTTATGCGTGGCCGTGAGCCTTTGCCGCTTTTTGAGTGTCTGAGCGGCAGCAACCTGACGCTTTCCCATCAAACACTCTTCGCTTTCCCACGTCCAGCCGCTCAGATCGTCTGCCGATGGCGAAATGTCGAAGCTTTCGTCTCTCGCCGAAAACAAAGAGGGCCCTCCCTCTGAAGGACACAATTTTGAGTAAATAATATCGGGATGGTTCATCACCTGCAGTAGAGCGGCGTACGCTGTCATCAAATCGACAGCCGCGCCGCCCGTTTGCCGAACATTCTCGTAATAGTCGAGGAAACTGCAATACAAACGGTGCTGCATTGGTGAGAGTTTGCAAAACAAGATCCACTCCATTTTAGGCGGTAGTTGAGAACGCAGCAATTTCTTGCCTCGACGCAGCACAACACTCCGCAACCGCTCAATCAGTTCTTTTGAGCGTGTCAAATTACCTTCTAAAATAGGTCGCTCGTATTTTGTGCGAAAGTCTTCGTAGCTGCCCAAAAACCTTTCTCGCGCAAAGTTGACCATACACCAGTATTCAGACAGCGAATTCTGGACAGGGTATCCAGTTAGTACTAGACGTCGAGGTGTCTGAATTTGAGCCACACTCTGACAAAGCAAAGAGGTTGGATCTTTCATGCGGTGCCCTTCATCCATGACGACAAGGTCTGCGCCTGGAGAACTCAGCAACTGCCGGTACTGGCGTGCAGCGCGTTGAACTTTGGCCATTTCTTGTGCTGAAAAACTAGTAAATTCTATCGTGTCTGAGGCCATTCGTGAACATACCTGAATAGATGTCTCGCGCTCGGTTGTACAGCTTATTGGCGTCGTTGTTGGGTTCAACAAACCGCGAAACATCTCGTAACCCATAAGAAGGACGCCGCCTGAACCCTTCCAGCGCTGTAGCAGTCGCATTCGGCCTGCAGAAGTGCCTTTTGTTGTGGAAGAATCGAACAACAACACAGGACAGCGAGAACGTGACTCTGCGCTCAGCCATTTATTGAACTCAGCCTCCCAATTCGGCAAACAGATCGCCGGACAGAGCACCAATACTGATGGCAAAGGCTCGACATCATCGTGAGCTTTGTCGGAATCATTTATCTTGTCCGTCATGTCTAGACACGAATTTTTGTTGCGTTGTTTGCGAGCATCGATTTCGTCAATGATAAATGAGTAAATGACCGTGATAACTTGTAATGTTTTTCCTAATCCCATATAGTCGGCCAAAATACATCCGCGGCCAGCAGCCAAATGCGAGTAAAGGAACAGCACGCCTTCTGCTTGATGAGGTTTTAGCAAAGCTTTGATCTCTTTTGCAATCCAGATATCTTCCTTATTTTCCCCATCAAGACAAATCGTGGCATTCGTACCAAGCCGCACGCGCCCACACTCATCCATTTCTTCGATTAAAGCTTCTGAACTGTTGTCAGAGTTTGATGTAATCACGCTGTCATCAAATGGCACTGTGTCCACGTCGTCTTCGGCTGGACAAATACATGGCAGCATCATGCAGCTCACACACGGTGAAGTGGCATCTGCTGCAAAGAGCAAACGCAGCTTCGCTGTTTTTAACTTGGCATCACTGACTAAGTCGGAATTGTAGGCTTCTTCCACAACATCAACGGCATCTTCGGCGCCATCAACACAAATACATGGTATGAAGCCACATAAGCATCTGCTAACGTTCATGGTATCAACAAGCAAGCGATGTAGCACACGTTAAGCTGTTGAGTAGCATACGGACAATTTTTTGCTTTGAAAGGAAGAATTTCTTAATAGAATAGCTTAAAAATTCTGCTTCTCTATTTATTGATGGTTGTGTTGTTGCCTGAACTTTTCAAGCCTATTCTCCTATTACCTACTTCATCTTGCTTATCAATGCCTTGTAGGCCAATAAAATCTTCTTGCGATCTCCTGTAGACACCTGCTCGATGTACGGACCCGCCAATTCGGACGGACATCCCAGTGATGGTAGAAACACATCACGTAGGAACGCCAGGTACTCGATGCCCAAAGAGCTCAACAAAACGGCCTGCATATTTACAATTTCTTTGATTACCAAATTGATTTGCATATCGTCGATGTCAAAGTGGCGTAGCTTCGTCACAGCGAACATGGCGCGCGTAAAGTCCCGTACTGCAATTTGCGTAAATCGTGTCTTGCCGTCGTTCGACAGCGCAGCATGAAGTTCGACACGCAGAGCCACAGTCGCAGCAGATTTTACCACGTCGGTCGTACCGGACGCCTTGCTTGCAGGAGAGGGAGCCATTCCGTTGCCAAGCCAGCGTTCAACTAGCATACTGCCGATCGAAAAGCACGCACGATTTATGTTGGCGTCTTCAACTTCGGCACAGCCCTCAAGGACAAGACGAATCATTTGTTCCAGCTGTGCGACATTCTGAGCACTGATCAGCACCGCATCCAAGCCGTGCGTAACCAGGTGCAAAATGAATGTGTACAGATATTTCTGTGTGGCCTCTCGCTCGAGCTGTGGAGCGTCTTTCGTCTTACTGTTTGGCAACGCACTGCGTTGCGGCATCAACGTACACAAATGCTGGATGAAGGGCAACGTTGTCTTGTCCAAGAATCCACCAAACGCTTGCTTGTACTTGATTATTAGTTGGTCCACTAGCTGCACAATCTCCACCACTTCGGGTTGTTCACAACCCAGCATTAAGGTTTGCAGCGTATCCTGTACATTCCCCAAAAAGTGTGCACGGTCGAGCACTGAAATCAATCGGTGCAAGGTAAAAATAACCTTTGAGCGCACACAAGGCGACCGGGAGAATGCGCGCAGTACGCAATTTGTGGCTGTAAGCACCTGTATGAGCGTATTTTGTTGCTTGTCTATGCAGTCGGTGCTTTTAAAAGCCTTCAGTACGTGAGCGATTGCGTTCAGATTAAAAGCGCAGTGCTCCGTCACATAATCTTCATCCGTTATTGCACCCTTCACCAACTCGTTTAATGTCATGTTCAGGCTTTGTAATAGTGGGTCCAATATGGCGATCGTGTATCGAGATCGGAGCTGCTTAATATTCATGCCTGTTTTCTCTGGAGGCAGCACAAGCGAAGCAATTATTTGTCCCGCGAGCTCAAACAAGTACAGCTGGTCATCGTGAGCTAAAAATGTTGGCAACCGCTTAGTAGCAACATCTTGACGCTCCTGAGCAATCGCAAGACGTGGCTGCAACGCAGCCAAAATACCAGACGCATGAGGATAAAGTGAGGCACCGATAGCTTTGACAAAACGCAAGCACAGATAGCAGACACGAGAGCGCACTTGGCCATCGAAATGTGCAAGTCCGTAGGAACCAAACATCATATCTAGTACGGCTGGAATTAATGAAGACTCGTTCTGCAAAACATTGCTGTATCGCACAGCAAAGTCATAGTAACTAAGTAGCACGGCCGAGTGCAAGACACATCCGCTGCTGACTGCAAAAAGCATGCTGCGATAAATTTGTGCGCTCATAAGAGATAGCGAGCTACTTGGTTCGTAAAATGGAGCAGCGACAGCTTTCAAGGGTGCGATTCCTTCTTTGAATCTGTAGACCAGTGACAGAAAACTCTCGAGGTTTCGCGGATCAATAACCGCAAACTGTCCCGGTAAACTCTGCGACAGATTCGTGAGAAAATTTAGTGTATCATGCGGACGCTGGCGCACAATATTCAAATAAATTGTGTATAAACTGCGTCGGTATTCCTCAAATTCTGCTACGTCCGAGTCTGAGTCTTCGGGAAATCGAGTTTGTCGATAAATACCATGCAGAATCTGCGGAATATACGCGGATGGTCGAAACACCTCCGCTTTACTTTCAGCGCTGTCAGCGGTCTTCGCCTCAGTACGAAGCATTGCGCCCCCGACTGTATTAACAATTTCGAACACTTCTTCCGAAACATCCTTGGATTCATGCGCAAAAAGGTCCCACACTAGCGGCATCAATCGACACAACATCAATCCAGCGGTTTGTAGTAAGTCAGCTCGATTCGTTTGACGAAATGCGTCCACACAAGTTACGAGCTCCATTCCAACAGCATTAATTACTTCGCCAATTTCCTCAGCAAATTCTTCTTCTTCATGAATGGGCAAAGCTGCTAGCATGTCAAGAATTTGCAGTTGCTGCAAAAGTAACAACTTTTTTTCAGGTGTCATTCCTTTATCAATGATTTCGAACATGCAGTTTGCTGCTTGACATCGAAACGTAACACTTTCACGCAACAATTTAACCAGCAATGGCCACAGCGTGTCATTCACCACGAGACCGATATCTACCCAACTAATGTACTTTTTTAGTGTTTCAAGTGCGCTTGTACTTAACTGACGCATGACATCACTTGCGTCTGCATTCACTAATACACGCGCAATCGCATCAAAGCTTTCTCTCATTGAAGATCCTTCACGCATTGCATCTTTGATCTTCATGTTGTGTGCGGCCTCTTGTTGCGTTCTCTGAGCATCAAACTCGACAAGCTCCTCATTGATGGCCAGTAAAATACGAAAGTATATTTCCACAATTGACGCACCTCGTGGTAGCAGCGCCAATAGTTCAGTAAAGGCCGTTGGCCAGCAGTATGGATAATCGCGCTTGATAAGAAGAGTGATGACAACCGCTAGCTTGGTTTTCAGATACGGCGCCTTGTTCTCTACGTATGCCACATGTCTCTCAAGCCACGAAAATAGCTCTACACGGATGGCCAGGGCTACATCATTGGTTACGCCATTGGTCAGTGCCTCTTGTATTGCTTGCAGCGCGTAGAACTTAACCTGTTCGTGCTCCGACTGCTCGAAAAGCTGCAGCTCAGCTCGCCAGCCGTCTTCCTGGGCTTTAACGGCAGCGCAAAAGCTCTCGGCCTGCAGTTTAAGCGTCTTTGTTGGCTGGTCAGCAACGTCCGCGCTTGCACACTGAAAGGCGATAAGCACGGCACGCTCAAGCTCGGCCACATCCACCATGATGGAAAACAGCGATGCAGGGCAGTCGCAACGTACTATAGCGGCCTTTGAACAAAATCGACGGCAATGTAAGATGAGAATAGAGTTGAAAATGGTCTTGAAAGAATACGCTCGTAAGTTGGCAGCCAATAAATTTGCGCTTTAAAATGTTTAAAATTCTATCTCGACATTGTGAAGCCGATCAAATTTTGTCGGTATAAACATAACGCGCACATGAGAGAAATTATTATTTTGGTAATTACCCAATTTTGAAGAATTAAGGTAATTGCGTCCACTAATGGGCGGTAATTTGGTTGATTCTGGTATTCTGATGCGTTCATGTTGCCAAGTAGGTGAAGAAGTATTTGGAAATACAGCAAACAAAAGGACCGTCACCTCTTGCAATGAAAGATATTCTCGTAAGCCTTAAACAATCTCGGTTGCTCCAATGTGATTCGATGTACACTCGCGAGGCGATCTCGGTATTTCGCAAGCAACGGAACAAAACCTCTTACCCGTAACTTGCATTAGAAATGGGGAATTAATGATTCCGATCGGGTGATTCTCTGCATCCGCACCGTGAAATTCCGACTGACGCCATCTACGAGTCCAGCAACCAGTTGTCCTCTTTTTATACCAACTACTCAGAGACCAATTTACACAGAGATTTGATTATGTCAGGAACACACTCCTTGGTCACTTGAAAAGCTGCTATAAATGATTATGATATGATTCAATCTCCAATTGTAATATATCTATGTCTCCAATTTTTAATTGACTTCATCCTTTTGAAGCAAACAATCATACAGCAAATTCCGGTATTGGTTGGCCAATGTGGGATTCGAACCCACGCCTCAACAGTTGGCGAACACCATTCAGGTGGCCTTACCTGATCGACTTGGCCCATGGACGAGAAGATGTTTGAATGGCATAAGGCTGAAGCTTCCACTCCGTCCAGGAATCAAGATGCAACGGAGTTACCCGTGCCCTTGTGAGAATGGCGGTACATAGGTGCGTATTACACAGTTAGTGTAATAACACAGTGGTGTGGCTACACCGTAACAAGACATGAGCAGGATTACGAGTAGTAATGCATATAACTATATGAATTAGGCATTATTATACTAATCAGGAAAAACCTAGGGTTCTAGATATTAGCGGCTCTGCCGCCACCAAAACAATTAAATACAGTTTTGTTTTTGGACGGAAGTGTTCGTTTGCCTTGGTAAGGCATTAGTACTTGGAAGTAGCGGATGGCGATCCGCTACAATACTACTGGTTCTTTGAAAGAACGTAAGGTTGGTAACCTTGACTTAGCTTCCTCTAAGCAAAGAGCTACGGCAGCCCTGCTGCACTTGGTAGCACTCGTAGTCAATCTACGATTGAGCCGTTCGTTACGACTGATTTTCTGTGAGGATGGAGGAATACTCCTATTTGCCCCAGGGCATGCAGGTTGGGCTTAATAAGCTGATGTTCCTGCTATGCTTTGAGGGCGTGGAGCACCTCGTTGCGCAAGGGCCCGAGGCCATAAGCGCGCATCTAGAGGTGTTTTCAAACTATGAAAATGCTTTGAAAGGACACTCACAGCAGAATCTGCCAGTGTCGACAGCGTCTATGACGCCACTGTCGACGACGGGTGATTCCTTCCGACCCAGGCCGCTCATGGTGAGCGTTAAGACCATTGAGGGTAAGAATGGAGCGAATCTCTTTCTCTGGGTGAGAGAGGCCGAGATGGCTATGACATCCGCCATGCTCCAGAACGAGCAACAGCGCGTGGCGCTAACTATCCCCAAGCTCGGCGGCCGAGCGCGAGAATGAGCACTAAAGTGTGGTTTCTGTCGAAGCTGCGTTCCTCTCCAGGATGGCGAGAAAGCGTCAGCTTCTGCGAGTGTTTTCGCCGTGTATTCAGGCGTATCGCGTTTCCTTGCTGCTCGACAGGTCAAGAAGGAGTCTGTGGACTTGGTCCAAGATTTGAGAACTCTTATTGTGGGGATGGCAGCAGATTCTCTTCCCGAGGCGGTCGCAGTTACCGTCATTATGGATGGACTCCGCCCTGGCGTGGCCAGAACGGAAGTTTTCCGTGTGCATCCATCTTCTTTTGAAGAAGCGGTGAATGTGGCATTGAATGCCGAATTCAATTTTAAGTCGGCACGACTTGGTTGGAGTGCACACACTCATAGCTCGTCGAACGGGCATGAGCCGATGGACCTCAGCTGTGCTGAGAGAGAGGGCAGATCCAGAGCTGCTAGGCAGCGGTTGAACACCCAACGGTGTTTTGTTTTTAAAGACACCCGTCACCTTTAAACGAGTTGCCCTTGCGCAAGGCGCGTAAAGGTTCGTCGAATCGACGTCACGCTTCTAACAAATCTGGCTTGCGCGGGAAAACGAGAACAACCACAAGGCGCGGGGCGCCCTACTGGGGAAGAACTGAGTTCTGTTAAGCCTCAAAGTGGAAAAGGGCAGCAGGGCCCAGCCCCGAAGAGCTGTGTACTTTTAAAAAAACGTGTGTTCAAGCCGGGCTTGTCGGTCGTAAAAGCGATCGTGAAGGGTTTTGATAAGCCATGGGAGATCCTTATCGATTCTGGTGCGTCGGGTAATTATCTAGACGCTTCACGATTGAAGAAAGTCGGTTGTATGCTGAAGCGCTCGAAGCGCGGTTGAGCGACACCGTCACTGTTCGCTTAGCGACGGAGACTTGTGTCACTGTGCCGACGGTTCTTGTGGACCTCGGTGTCAAGTTCCATGACTTTGAGAGCGTGGAATGCCGTCTAGTCCTAAACTTGAATGCAAGGTATGACCTTATCCTTTGTATGGCATGCTTGGAACACCATGAGCCATGGATTAGTTGGAGGTTGAAGACGCGCAAGTCTCCTGGTGGAGCTGTGGTGATTCATGAATAGGAATTAAAAGCGCTATTGGCGCGGGCAATGGCGGGATATCCGAGTTGTCGAACACCAAAGATATTTTGAACAAGAGTCCCGAGCGTGGCTTGCGGGCTGAAAGTGGAGTGGCACGTAACCCACTGAGCGCTGCTCAAGTATTCGAGCAGTCGCTGCATGCCAAGAAAGGCATGGTCGGCCTAGGGTCGAGGCATCAAGGGCGAGACACTTGTGATGCACGTGGAGTGGCACGTAAACCATCGACGTTACGAAGCAGTTGCTGCGTGCCAAGAATGGCATGGTCGGACGAGCTCCGAGGCATCAAGAACGGGGGACTTAAGATGCGCACGTATTCCACTGAGTACCGCTCACGTTTCGAAGCGGTTGCTGCATGCCAAGAGTGGTCTTCATCACGGAGTTCCATCTTTCTCGTCAGTTCCAGCACATTGGTACCATCGAGGCTGGCGCAAAAGTGTCACATGTACATAGACCACAGTGTGATGAGTACATCGTTTATCCTCCGACCATCCGAAATGCACAGAAGTAAATGCTCAACGAGCACCAACTGCGCGTGGAAATTCATGGTCGGACGAGGTCCGAGGCATTCTGGGCGAGGCCCTTCTGATGCGCGTGGAGTGGCACGTTATCCACTGGACAAAGACTGAGGAAATAGCAGCTCTTCATCGGATGCTGCTAATAACATCAAGGCTCCGACGAAGTAGGAAGTGGGGACGCTGGATGGCGCCGAGTGCGTGTTCCCACTGGTCTCGATGAGACGTAAAACCTCCATAGAGAGGAGACAGCGAAACCTTATGTTATCTGCAAGACGCAGCGCGTCGACCCTGACCCAGGGTATGTCTACCGTATACGATAGCGCGCAGCTATATACCCATGTCAACGGTATTACGGTGGAGAAAGACGGCGACGTCACCCTCAAGGCAATTCCCGCGGTGGATGCTCTTCTTGAGCTGGACAAGATGTCCTTCGAGAAATCTAGCGGTGCCTTGAAGTCAGGCAATTTAGCCGAGGTGGTCATTATAAGACCAAACGAGGAGAATCATCCGTCGTCGCTTCTGGATGAAGCTGTCCTGGAGAAGACTAAGGATCCTTCGGATCTGTATTATCTTTTGACAAAGATATCTCGTCTCCAAAGACCCGCCGTCGGTCCACCCTCCGGACCAAGGTGAGCGTCATGAAATTATTCTAATTCCGGGAACCAAATACTGCGTAACACGCTAATGGCCCCTGCCCAAAGAGCTTTGTGACGTCATTGCCGCCTTTTCCGTGCGAAGCACTACGCAGGAATGGTGCGTGAGAGTAAGTCTTCCCCTTCGACATCCACGTTCTGTGTCTGGAAGCCGAGCGGCAAGTGGCATATCGTTCACCCTTATAAAAAGCTAAACGCCGCCACCATTCCGGCACAAACGCCAGTACCTAGAAAAGATTTTCTTCAGAACAAAATGGTTGGCTATACAAAGGACAGGGCATTCGACTTGGTCAATGGTTAGTACCAATTGCTCATAAAAGCGAGTAATATTCCGCTGACAGCGGTGAGTACTCTGAGCGGGATACTTTGGGAGTGGCTGGTGATGCCTCACGGGCTGCACCAGCAACATTTAATCGTCTTGTGACGCAGTTGTTTAGGCCATATTTGGGCGTATGCACAGACATACTTTGACGACATCTTCGTCCACAGTCAAGCGGGGCAAGGAAGGACAGATGTGGACAGCCACATCGTCCATTGGGAGCGGTGCTCAAGTGCATGCGCACGAATAAGTTGTACGCTAATGCAGACAAGTGCATCTTCGGCACTAAATAAATTTCCTTCTTAGGGTGTTTTATTGGGATGCGTGGCCTTTGAGCGGATTCCGCTAAGGTCCATGCCATTGTGGGCCAGTCGGTTCCAAAGAACAAAAGCGACTTGCGCCAGTGGCTTGGTCTCGCCAACTATAGCGCAAATTAGGCGGAAATGGCTCGGCTATTGTCTAATCTCCTTAGAAGGAATACAGAATGGTGTTGGGTCACCGATCATCGGGAGGCATTTGACAGGGTCAAAGACAGCCACCAATACTGGTTTTGTTTGTTTTGACCCTGGTCACCCGTTTAGTGTTGTCTGTGAGACTTCGAACTTTGCCATCGGGTGTGCTCTGCTAGAACCAGACGCCGAGGGGCGAGATTGGGTGATCGCGTTCGAATCCCGCCAGCTTAAGGCTGCGGAGAGGTTCTACCCAGTCCACGACAAGGAATTACGTGCGATGACGTATGCACTTGTCACGTTCAGGGTGTACCTGCTGGGCTCGAAGCCGCTTGTGATCTACATAGATCATGCGGTACTACGCTCTGCGACTCAGTCGCCTCACTCTCGCAGCGATGGCCAGGTCGCTCTCATTCATCGCAGGATAGTAACTTCGAGGTGAAGTATAGGCCAGAAAAGCCGAATTTTTTTTGGCGGATGCGTTGTCGCGCAGACCAGACTATGATCTTGCTCATGTCACGACGGTGACGTAGTCAGTGACGGATTTGATCCGCGCCGCATACGCGGGTGATAGTATGTGTGTAGCGCTGCTACAGGCTCTCGGGAGCAAGGAGTTTGGAAACTCGGACAAGAGATCGTCGGCGCGTTTGCGCGCACGGTTACACCGATATTCGTTGAGTGACGGGTTGCTGTATTATTGCACCGATTTAACGGATACACCACGAAATGTGCTTCCTCACGATGAAGATTTGAAACATCGTATTATTTATGAATCCCACGATACCCCACTAAGTGGTCATCTCGGTCGTGAGAAGGCGTACAACTCGGTGAATTGCCATTATTGGTGACCCATGCTGTACAAGTGGACGAGCACACATGTGCGCACGTATTATACGTGTCAGAAAGTGAATCTCTCGCCGAATCCGGCGGTGCCGCTGGCCAGTGTATCAGTGTTGGCAGTCCATGAGTATGGACTTTGTGTTTGGCCTGCCGAAGAAATCGGCAGGCAACACGTGTCGTGGTTTTTTCGACCGTTTGGGCAAGATAGCTAATCTTGTGGTAGTGCCGGACACCATCGACGATGTGGGTATAGCGACGCTGTTTTTCGATCGTTTCTTTAGACAGCATGGACTTCTGGAGTCAATTGTCTCTGATCGAGACCCGAACTTCACTGGGAAGTTTTGGTCTACACTCTTTAGGGTGTTGGGGGCCAAGCTGACTATGTTAACAGAGGACCATTCGCAAACCGATGGTCAGACTGAGTGCGTGAATCGCGTCGTTGATCACGTTCTTTTCAGCGCCTGCGCTGAGACGCCGAAGCGCTGGAGCACTATGTTGCCACTCGTAGAGTTGTTCTGAAAAATGGAGTGCATTCATCTACCGGCTATACGCTGTTCTACGTGAGCGAGAAAATTAATAATCGTGGCGTCCCGCTAACGCTGCCATCCCATGGCTCAGAGCTCGGTGGGGGAATAGCCGGACGGCTAGCTGATGCCAGCCCCCATACCGCGCGTAAAGAAGTCGGAGACTTCCTGTCTAGTAAACTGTGTCTTACGACACGATCGCGATGCGATGACTGAGAGTCAGGACATGCAGAAGGAATATGCAAACGGAAAAGGAAAAGAAATGTTGAATACATTGAGGTCGGAGACCTGGTTTTATTAAACGCTGAAGACCTTCCTACACATGAAGTATCTGCTGTCTTTGAAACGAAGCTCCTTCCACGATTTATTGGACCTTTAAAGGTCGTGGCCAAGCGAGGGATAGCGTATAGTGAACCTTCCGAGAAGGATGCGCATCCACCCGGTGTTTAATGTAGGCTTCCTTTCGCCGTACAGGGATCCAGCCCAATTTAACGTGGGAGCGTTGGTGCCGGACGGCGCCCAAAGGCGCTCAGCCACTCAGAAGTTGAACCAGTAACTGGTTCTGAGTGCGGAGTGCAACAACTTCCGCTTTCAACGGCGCAAGGCGCTCCGCCATCGCACGAAGTGACGTATTCGCATGCTCGATGGCTAGGTGCCGCTCCGACTAAGCACGATAAAACCACAACGCGAGGCAGTCGGTGCACAAAGTACTCTAGGCTCTCGAGGTCTTCCGGACAACGGTAGACGACCTCAGAGAGATGCTCGGTAGAGTGCCGATGACGACGGACTTTGTCCTCCAACGTTCGAAGAGCTTCGCGAGTCACCGAACGGCGATCGACCAAGCCGTCATCGTCCGCCGCCGAATCTACTCGATGAGAATGGTGGCGTTCACTACCACGCGGAACACCTTGTGGGTCGGCGTCACCAACGGGGTTTAATGCAATATCATATGAAGTGGCGAGGATACCCAAACTCCGAGAGCTCGTGGAAGCTTGAGGTGCCACTTCGGCAAGATTGCCCAGTCGTCGTAGACGCTTATGATCAGAAGGATCATGGCGCTTTTTGGCAGTAATCCGGGAAGCCGGAGGCCATGAGCTGAGCTCGGGCTATGCTGTGGTCGTAGAATCGCCCGTGTGAGAAATCACAAAGCTCGCGGGAGCGTTATGGTTAGTTCCATAATTCGCAGGGCAACAATACACAGGAAGTCGGCGTTGCGTCTTGAGTTTTGAAAACTTAAATCCAAGATTGTTCTCGACGCGCACGTCTACTTCCTTGTGACTTTGCCGTAAGGTAGACAGCGTACACAGTTTCTGGTGCCGCTGGACTCATCGCTCAAAGGGCACATCATCATCTGCAGCGGTTTTGCCAGAGGCGAGCACCACAGGGATGGCGGGAACAGAAGCATTTCTTTTTAACTCGAAGTTGAGCGTGGTACCGATCCATTTGAAATTCTTGAGGTACCATAAAGCGAGCTCGCAGATCTTTCCGCTGATCAAGCTCGGCTTGTGTAGTGTCTGGAGACCCGACTACGTAGACGTCCAACGATCGAGTGATCGCGTCTTTCGCTTCAGTAGCGGGATCCGCCGAGCGGAAGCCGTATTCCACACGAAGGTCTAAGAACGAACGTGGATCTCAGCGCAGAGAGCCGCCCTGTGAGCAGCCTCCAATTGGTGCTTCTGTGCCTCGTCGAGGCGATTGGTAATAAAACCACTTCCCGGAAGCCGAGAGGTCGGGGAACGGGCATGGTGTCCGCAGGGTTTGAGCTGGGTTCACGTCGCGCGCTGGTGCACTTCATCTTTCTCGTCATCATCATGCTGGAAAAGCGTGTCCGACTCGTAGTCGACTTCCTCCAACTCCTCGACGAGAAAATTCCGTTGCCCGGTGCGAGAGCAGTATGTTGCACCCAGTTGCCGAGGACTTGGGATATGGTTATCGTGAATCCGCGGGCGTACTGTCCGGAGATGCACCTTGTGCAGTGGAAGAAACGCTTTGCCCGTGGGCGCCCTCGCTATCAGCTAGGCTGGGTGTTTTGTGTGTCGTAGACACAGTGCTCATAGAGCGGAGAGGGTTCAACGTTGTTCTTATGAACGTGAAGGTCTCTCAAACACGCGAGCCTCGTATGAGGCGACCGTTAAATGTGGAATGAGGATATCCACAATTTTATGGGGGATAGTGTAATGGGGTTACACGTGCCCTTATGATAAAGGGCGGCACATATGTGAATATTACACAATTAATTGTAATAACACAGTGGTGTGGCTACACCATAACAATAAGCCAACACGCGGCAGGATTGCCAGTAGTAATGCATATGACTATATTCATTAGGTTTTGCTATAGTAATTAGATATTACTATAATAATTTGGAAGACCTAAGGTATTAGATGTTAGCGATTCTGCCGCAACTAAATTTTTAAATACAGCTTTGTTTTTGAACGGAAATGTTCGTTCGCCTTGGTAAGGCTTTAGAACTTAGAGGTAGCGGATTGCAATCCGCTACACTAGACCTGGTCTTTTGAAAGAACGTAAGGTCGGTGACCTTAGCTCAGCTTCCTCCGAGCAAAGAGCTACGGCAGCCTCACTGCGCATGAACAACTCAGCGTGTGGTCATGTTGGGGTACTAGTCTCCGATTTGTTAATCAAAGTCTCTTGTTTGCGTGAGCTGCTTGCAATTTTGTTTTAAATGGAGACAAACTCGTCCCCGAAAAGATTTTTGATGTGCTTTTTCACAACCATATCAGTTTGACGCAACATGCACCATGTCCTGCAAATTGGAAACAAAAATCACATCCAGCACCCTCCAATCCGTCGAATCGATACGTTTACTTCATCAGATACGATTTCGAAACGTTTTTTCTTTTAGGATGGGCACATAACGTCAGAAACCTTCACAGTGAGGTCATAAAGGCTCACAGTTGCTTAGAGTAACGCTGCAACGTGTGGATTATAAGGACGAACTCATGATAAATGCAAATTTGCATCGGTAAGTGAGAAATACCCATGCGTCAAAGAATCAAGGACAATGGAAAAATAGACGCTTCGGGAAACTCCAGGATTTTGTCCAGGATTGTGAGAATAAAAATAATCAAGATTCGTGCAAAGTTTGAACCTTAAGCGTCTGGATTTAGTCCAGTTTAGTTTACCCTCACGAACAACTTTGAAGGTTCCAAAACAGCTGTCACGTGACGGTTGGAGAGCCCGTCGAATTACTTTGCAACGACGGGGGTAATCTGACGCGGATTCTTGGTTCGGTCTGTGCAGTATTGAACAATACTGCCCAGGGAAAAACAGAGTAGGACAAGTGCTTGTTGTTGTGACACAGAGCCGTAGCCTTCTGGACTAAAAAAGCCATCCCCATCGCTTTGATAGCACCTCTATGAACAACGAATGTCAAATACTGCTTGCTGGAGCCACAGCAAAATAAATGTATCAGCGAGCGGCTGAACATCATTAAAAAACCTGGCATCTCGATCAAGAACTTGATAGGCAGCCCACTGACAAGTCTGCAACCCCTCATAATGACTTTAGTATTATATCAGACGAAGCGACTCCCAAACCCTGTTTCTAATTTGTCTGTGTCCGAGCTAGGGTCTCCCCAGCAGAGATTTTTATTCCGAAATGAGTGCAAAACTGGCGACGAGCTGAGACCATTCACTTGGTGGTTTAATATATATGCATGTTTGAGATCATATTCAGATATATGTACAAACTGAAACGGAGTCCGACTCATTGAAAACGTGCAAGTCCTTGATGACTCCAACAATCACAGGCGGACATCGACAAAAGTAGCTCTGTAGTGAGTCACGCACTCTGTGATTAAGTTTTTTATGAAATCTCGGCTTTTTATTTTGCAAATACTTTTTAAACATTATACATCCCCGCTGCAGTCTGGGGGTGGTCCACACCCGCACAGAGATTCTCCACGAAAATGATAGCCGATATCCTTTCACGAAAAAACTACTACCACCATCCCGACAGTTAGTTTCTTAAGCTCTTGGAGATAGTCTGCTGACTTTTGCTTACCTTTGAATTTGAATCTTCAAAATGACTAAGTAACGACTCAGCTCTTTTATGTCAAAAACGACGTATAAAAAATGATTCAATTTAGGCTAACATTTTGCCATATATATATTTTTTTTTGTTCCAACATGCGGCTAGCAGTCTGCGTGTATTGCGGATCTCTCCTGTATAAATTCTCATCACCTACATAATGCGGATACTTCGGTACGTATAAATTCTCCCAACTTCGAAAAGTGCAACATTTGTTTCATCCGATTGCACAGTTTTATCTTTAACTTATGGGAGATAAAAAAATCTCCCAGAAAAACCGAAAAATAAAATCAATGTACGAGATATTTGAAAGATAAAAAGATATACCAAGTGTATATTACTTCGAGTATAGTTATGTATATATATGTATACATATTTGTGATGTCAACATCAATGTACGAATACACCAAGTGCGCATAAAGTGGAAGTGACAAATGAAAACATCGTTATATCTTGTGGAGGTGAACCATGCAAAGCCAGAAAATAATGAAAGTATTTTGCGAGACAACCATCAAGATTACGGTTCATTAGAACAGTTTGCTGTAATGAACCACATTTTTGCAAACACCGCTTCTATGATCCTGTTTCTGTTTTAGCTGAGCAGTTGCTTGTTGTGACGGAATACGACTCTTCTTAGGTCTTCCACGCTTCTTCAAAATTTGAAGAAGCTTGCAATCACATGCTGACAAAGAGTGTTTAATTATAAGCGAAAAAATAGTTTCACTTGAATATTTGCTGTATGCTGCTGCAAATCTTGATGTCTTCCATATGGGGTTGCAAGATGTATACATGTGCGTATATACATAACTATACTCGAGGAAGTATACACTTTGTTTTTTTTTCTTCAAATATCTCATTGTTTCTAATGGCGCGATCAAAGTAGAGCTAATAGATTATGCAGAATCAAAATGGGCTGGTGACTTTGATACGCACGCTCAACGACCGGCTAAGTATTATTTCCGAATGGCAACTTGATCTCGTGAAAATCTAAGTTGCAACCAACAGTCGCGACCTCAAGCACAGAAATCGAGTACATGAGCCTATAGCCTATACAGTGCAGCTCAACAGGCGATTCGGCTGCATGCGCTACCGAAAGACATGCGCTACAAGGCTCAAGATGTCGCACTGCTTTATCACGACAATCAAATGTGTATCGCGCTAGCCAAAAACCCGGTTTACCACTAACGAACGAAGCACATTGACATCAAATTTCACTTTCTGCGCGAGAAGATCGAGCGTGCAATCTTCTACATGAATATGAGCCGACAGTCGTGACGAGATGACTGCTGACGGGATGACAATAACATTAGCTCGTGACAAGCATAGCAAGTATGTCGATGGTGTAGACATGAAGTAGTAAAGCGACAAGCTGCGTGGAGATCAAGGGAGAGTGTTGAATTGTGATGTAAGACAAATTATGAGAGTATGCCTTCTATTTTTGCATATTAATACTTGTGTTTTGCAACGTTGAGCTAGTCTGCAGATTGGCTCAGTCGCGGCGGGGGGACGCTTATCGACTGGGCGTGTGTTCAAGCCTCAGCGTAGTAAAGTTGATTGCCTTTCGTTTTTCCCTTGTAAAGTCCTCTCAACGCAATCACCTTTCTATTCTGCATGTAAACGGTGCAGTGACTAGCCAAATATCACAGTACGTGATAACCGTAAACGTAGGGACAAAGAAAAGAAGTAAAGATGACTTTCTACTCATAATTTTGTGAGTATAACTTACTCTTTGTTTCACTACTTCGATGATAGCACAACTCAAGTAACTCTTCAATATCTTCTTTTTATTAATATGCTCCTGTCAAGTTATGATTATTCTTTTTGGAATAAGCAATTCGTAATTGCTACAAATGATTGTTCCTTGCACTCAGCGACATCATCATCACATCTCTAGCGAAAAATGGAAAAAATGATATCCTTGTTTGTTAAGTGTGCCTTCGAGGTAAGATGTAACTCAGACTAGCTTACTGTGTTAATGAATGCGCTTTCGCGTCACTTCGACTGATACCTATCGCATCTCACAAAAGCAACATCGCGCATCGGCGTGGCGACAAGTACGCCGCAACAAGTGTTTCTTGTTGAAAGCTTTAAAAAGGGAAATATTTAGAGCTTGGATTTCGGATGATATTTTGACAAAGTTTGGTTTGGTAGTGCGCATGTCGCTATGCTTTGTCCAAGGCCTGCCGTCTTGGTAAAGACGCTGTCTCGGTATCCCAAAAGGTGCGTTCCTTGATATCGGCATTGTGATCGTTTGAGGACGCCAATGCTAAACAGCTCATTTTGCTGCTGTCAACAATACAACTATGGGTGCCCCTCGACGAAGTCCTTCGCCAACATGGCTTATCATAGCTGTAGCAAAACGCTCCCACTTGTTGAGCTTACTTCAACCATCTGAGTACCCACCTCTACAGGCCTGACACCATTTTTGCGGCCTAGTCAACCCCTATACACCGCCATAAAGCTGCTCCACCCTCGACGGACGAAGGGCCATCGATGTGATCTGACTTGTCGACATCATTCGACTACACTTTGTTGTAAAAAAGTAGCCCGACAATTCACCTTAAGGTAATCAATCGCCATGTGCGAGAGCGCAACGCTATTACTCCAAACCAAGTATTACAAAAGCAACATAGATGCCAGAGGCAGACAGAATGCAATGAATCTGTTGAGTTTAATAAGGTTTATTAGACGCTGCTAGATTTGCAGTCTAAATAGCTCTGTTGCGCCTTTGTTTTGTCGGACCTATTTGCTCGTGGCCACAAATAAAAGAGTCCCACTTTATTAATTTGAGTAGAATGCAACTAAATTATACGTTCTGCGCAGATTTTCTGATTAGTTACCACGACTGCGCTGTAATGAAATACTCTCGCACAAAGCTTTCGATTGACGACACATGACTATCCCATCGCCCATTTTGGTATAGCTACCTACGGCCTTAATGCATCAATTTGATATCGTACCCAATAGCGTATTGAGATATCTGTTGTATTTTTTTTAGCTCTACAGGCGCGTCTAAATCATGAAATGACCGCAAGCCATGATCCCGGAGCAAGTCAAAGTTTCACTGTGACCGAGAGCGCTCTTAGAACCAATTAGGAGAGGTTGAGGATCATGCCCTGCCGGCTCTGCCCGATGAGCAAGGGTGACCTTATTCGATGTGGACCGGATTGTGAGTCGTCGGGTCACCAGGAGTATAACTGGTATGTACTGAAATGGGAGGGACACGAAACTGTGACGCTTCGAGGTCCCATCTCTGCAATATTGCTCTTGCGGCGTTGCTGCTTATCTATCAGTTTCGCTCTAGGGATCGAGACAGATTCGCACACCGCAACGCGCTCCGTCCTATTGAGTCGAGTTAGCCTTACTCCTAGCTCACAACATGACCCCTAACTGTACTAGCAGGCTTATGGAGATTCATTGGAGTGTCTACAGCATAAATCAAAGGTGGCGAGCGCGCACTTCGACGTCAACTCGTGATCTGCAATTTGCATATTCAATCATGAGCCGTACTATTGCTGGACGTTTTCCACCCCAATGGTCATATTATGTAGAGTATACTTCAACATAAAGCGGTAATGTAATGTGTTTCAAATCCAGAATGTATTAATATCATTACCCAACTATGTATCTCCATCATCAATCATACAATTTGTCTTCAATTTTTCTGACTGGATTAGAATTCGTAATACGTAGAGCTTCATCACTGTATTCTATATTCTCCATCCACGAAATTGGTATCCTCTTCAAATAGTATGTTTGATCGTTAATGTATAATTTGAGCTATTAGATAAATTTGTGACTGTAATCATGAGAGCTCTTTTGGTAGTACGTGATAAGTTATCATTCCCCCAACAAGGCATACTCCATAGGGATTGGTGCATTCACAATCAGCACCTGAGAGTGGTATAGTTTGAATGAAGTACGTGTTAGTCTGAACAATTCTATATAAGCCCATGTGTAAGTATTTTCTAGCTTGAACCACCAGAGCGCTAATATTGTCATTACTACCGAGCCTACCATAAGCACCTGTTAAAAATCGAGGCGCTTTTCATTTGCTCCGGCCCTAAAAGTGTCAGCGTTTGAAGTTTTCTTTAATAGTAGAGCTACGCACCCGCACGCGACTAAAAAGACACACAGAGTATGTGCTGCAACGACAAGACTCAGCCAATAATTGGATCATTCAAATTTCTCGAAAATTGATTTACTTTCCCAATTACCCCCTTTACTTAAACGATGTCGATACGTCCAATATTCCACTCAATCTGCCAGCTATATCGATCAATATTTGTCAAATTTACTGCGTTGATGCTTCTCTCTTTGCACACAGATCCGTCAGTATTATGCTGTGGTCTTGCTGAAGCCGTTTGTTGATAACATTAAATATACCGATAAGCTCGCGAGAACGGGAACCAATGCGTTAAGCAAGTGATTTCTTGACCTAAACGCTGCAAAGCAATATTTGCCATGTTCTTTAGAAGCTCTGACACCACCACAAGAAGTTTGCTTACTTGCATGATTGCATACAAATTAAAAAAAATAACGAATTAACGTATGGTTCCGTTACCGTGGGGCCTTGAAGACAATTTACATCGTTTGACAGTTAGCTGAGGCGATCGTCTCTGCTACAAATGTACCGATTTATCTTTGGCTCCGACGTTCTGTTCATCCATAATACAGCACTTGTTCAGTCGTAAGACAAAAATGCTAAGCATATTGAATATGTCCGACGCGCAAAAGTCACGAGCATCGCCGCATCATTACTGTGTGATTGATATCTGTTGAATCGATTGACCATCTTTTTTGCGTCTTACTCTGTAAACCTGAAGCCACATCAGGGCTTTTTCACTGGCAACATTTGCGCGTTTGTTGTCTCAGCAGCTTCTTATCCCACATTTCCACTCACTACTGTGTTGTCGCAGTACCTCCAGCTTGAGATTGTGCGTTGTGCTCGCAATGATGTTTTTTTCAACTCCTCAGAGAAAGTCGTGCTTGGAAGCCACCTCTGTGTCAGGCCATCGTAGTTGTAAGATTTACGTATATAAGCTAGAGCCATATTTGTAACAGGGTCGCCGCGCATCTTGCAGAGAAAAAGCTTTAGCTCAAATCGTTCACGTTAGCAGACGCCCATTGGTTGGATTTGTACGCTTCACTTAAGAGCCTTCAAAGAAACCACTCAATTTGCTCTGATAGTTAAAATTGACATATTTAGGATAAAGCCCATTCTCAAAATATACGCTTCACTATATCCAAAACTAAAGCTAGCTGACAGTTCGCGTGTACCACATACCTCTTTCGGAGTCGCATCATATCATTAAAACTGATGATCTCAGGAATTTTGCAGACTTGATTTATGAAATACAACAATTTTGACACTACAAGTTATTTCTTAAAGTATTTAGCCATAATATACGATCCGCACCGAAATGTTGTTTGTTCTATAAATCGAAAATAAATGATAATCGTGGAATTAAAATAGGTTCATTAAGGACAAATTATAAATTCCAAGAACTGCCAAAATACATATTTTACAAGGAAGTTTTGACCTTTAGCTTTCGACGCGAAAGAATACTGATCAGTATACTCTGACTTGATCAACTTTCAGAAATGCATTGACCTTTCGACTTTGGTCCATCAAGCTTATATTTTTTCCCAGTTGACACTTCGAAGTTTTGCCGACTGCATGCTGGCAAATAAAAGCTGAGCTCTACTGATATCACAGTGTGATAGCTCGCTCGCTGTCCACGCTTTTCTTTGAAATCACACAGCTTCTACGTCCATGGTAGAAGACATAAAGTAGGAAAAGGAATTTTAGCCAGGAGGGTGTTAAAACAGGTGCTTTCCTTTCCATCTTATTCATTCTCGATGTTACACCTCGAACAGCAGAGGTTCGTCAGTGACCACTGTTTTCAAACGTTAGACATATCAATCCAAAGGGCAGAGCGTCCCCGATTACGTAACATTGCATTGCAGGTTCATCAAGTGTACGCGATTCTAATCTAATAGCTGCTGCTTTTATATCGCACATAGTAATTCATATACATCGATCGCCGCCGGGAACCAAAGCTACCCGTGTACTATCGAAATGCAAATCTCTTTAGTCATTTCTGCATCCATATTAACATGTATTTCTTCGAAGACACATGAAGTTTGAGAGTTTCAAACGCTTAATGTCACCATTGTTGCACAACAAGTAGAAAAGAGTGATTACGGACGAAACCGCATACGCATGCTTAAGATTCATGACTCGACGTAAACTGGAAGTACCTATGACTACTTATCTACCTAAAGCAACCAGGCAGTAATGCTCCCACAGACGCGACAGCAATAATTTTGTCCACAGGAATAATTATTGTGAAGTTGCAATCACAAACTCTTTACTACCCTTATTGTTGATGCGACCACAAACTTTACGATCCTATAAATGCTGTCTGTGGAAGGGGAGTGAAAACGTTGGTAGAGGTTTCGTAATTGTCTTTTTTCGAATATCTAGGCAACGACTTCGCCTACAGATGTTGATATTTAGTCCATCACATCCAACAAATTTAGAGTTTTTAGGAATGAATACAGTAACCGGTAAAACATCAGTGCCAATTCGTAAGAATTAAGATTGGATAACGATTGAATAATCCATTTGTTGCGAGGAATACTTCACTACTTACTAGCTTGAAACCTTCTAACACTGCTTCAATTTTAACAGACACGAATTTAAACGGCATGCAAGAACCTCCCGCGGACCCTGCATGATAGATCATAGAAGTAGATGCTTTGGTTTTTTGTTGCTGCCAATTTCGAATCACAAGCTTCATGTTCAATCAGTCAGATTTGAATTTCGAAAAAGCCACGCTTCGTACTTTCAACTTCAAGTGAGGCTATTCCTTGCGGCATTCCAGCCTCGAATTTGATTTTCTTGTGGAATCAAGCGAATGCTTGATTATGTCCGTGGCACGAAAATCTCCTTCATGCCGAACTCCTTTTTACAGTAGGCTTGCTCATTTCTTACAAAATACACAAATTATCAACACAATAGCAGCTGATTCGAATTATCCATGTATTATGACCATATACATGTGAATCTGATGGCCTATACATTGTGACATGAGATATATTACAAGCACAGCAGGAGTTATCCACCGAAAATGCACTGCGCTGAAGCCACTTCTGCTTGCTACTAACAATTCCTCGAAGAAGAAGCGCTTTCTTCCTTGAAAAAGCTTTAAAATTAGCAGTAGCATAAGCATCAATGTTTTGGTTTCTCTTACTCCACTCTCGATTCAGTCCAACCAGCGTGGCTTATACTCTCATGATTAGCTATCGTCTACATCACTTATTGCTGGCCATGTCTATGCTAACATCAGTCGACATCTTACGTTGTACTGTTGCCCAATGCAGCCTGTCGATAGGTCCAGTCCCCCTTTCCACAAACATGCGGTCGTAAATTGAAGACCTCACGCTCGATTCGCGTTTGAGATGTGCTTAAGAACAAGAGTGGGCCATTCGGTCACAACATCCCGCGTTTGTGAGCTCAGATCGTTCTCTCTGGCAATTCGTACGACAAAACTTAACCGAATACTCGAGCTTTGTCGTTATTCACAAAAAGACTTGCCAACTTCACCACAAGTCGGTGTACTCGAGCTCATCCCGCTCTTGTAAAGGCCTCCAAAGGCTAGTTAGTCCATTAGGTATGACCGAGAACATTCCACCTTTTCCGTATATCGAGCTCACGCCTGAGGATCAAGCTCGTTATGATCGCAATGTGGCATCCTTTCTCAGCGACGCCGTAGCAGAGTATTCTGCACAGCGCGGCCAAACTAGCGAAGACGCGTGGATTCACGTCCGCCGTCGTGATTCGCTAAGCATTTACAAAAGTGTGTATGGCACTCGTGACCCGCAGGTGACACTCTTTAAAGGCACAGGACTTATTCATGGACCTGTGGAAGACGTAATGGACGGTATCTATTGCGATACAACGGAGGATCTCCGTGCATGCAAAGTTCTTCTAAAATACAAACTTGTGAACGGCAGTATTATGAATGTGACTGAGCGACGGAGCCCGGAAGCACCGTACGGGTTTGCTGGCATCAAATGGTTTGCTTCTAAAGCAGCTTGGGGACTGTCAAAGCATCGCGACGTGCTAGCATATGAACGCATGGGTACAACCACCGATGAGAACGGCAACGAGCTAGCTTACCACGTTCTGCACTCGATTGACCATCCGGATTGGCCTATTGATGCCATTAAGGGCATGAAACGCGAGCACCAAGTAAGCTGCTTCTTGTTTCGCAAGCACAATGAGAGCCATGTCGAATGCTTCATTTGGTCTACAGTCTACAACCTTGATTCTGTAGCCCAACGCGTCGCAGAATACTTTGTCGCAGGAACGCTTTTAAGCGTTTCCGACTGCGTAATGAGCGCCCGTGCAAAGAAATACTCATTGCTTATGAAACTCGCACAACACAACAAATGGCCGGCGAGTTCGCTGTGCCATATTTGCTACGGTCGGTCTCTTCTATCAACGAACCGACCTTGCGCAGGCTGTTTTCAAAGCGTATGCAAGTCGTGCTCAGACTACCGTTACATTTTCCACATTGATGCAAAGACTGGTCGACCACATCAGCAGCGATTCTGTAAACTATGCATTAACAGTACAGTTCTTATTGACTCGCACAACTTTGAGGCAACTGTCAAGAAGAAGGCGACTGATAAAGCTGTAGAAAAAAAGGATGTGGTGCGTGTCGCTGATACTCAAATCACGCAAAATCGTCAAAACGCTCCAAAAAGCCCTACAAGGACCTATTTGGATTCACAGTCGGTGGCTGAAACGAGCCTACGGTCGAATTACCTGGACTGGGCTAGTGACTGGAGCAGTCAAGACGACGATGATGATGAATACCTACGTGAACGTGTTGGGCGGGATCCTAAGATTAAGACTAAAAGCTGCGAAAATGTGTCTTTGTCCGATCTAGACGCAGAGGACAAATTCTCTCCTTACCCACCAATGCCTCATATACACAGACAACAATCGGAAGGACGCAACAGACGCGTGCAGGAGAACCGAGTGTATCAGAGGCGCGCTAACAAGGAAAAATTGCAACGTAATCAGTCGCCATTGGACCAATATGCAGCACCGTCACGAAAACACGAGCCTTGCTACACAAATATGCTCCCAGCCCCGTTGCCAAGATATCGATTGCCCTATCAGTCGCCCGGGTCAAAGACACCAGAGTCAACTCACAGCTTCACAGTCATCTCAAGCGATAGCGAGGAGGAAGCTGAAGTCGGTGACCTTCCTTTTGGAGAATCTGGTTTGGGTCTCAGCCACTTTGACCTTGGCGTTCTTAAGGGTTCACCTAACAACGATACAGACATTCTCGATCATAGCATTTATTCGGACAAAAACAGCCGTTCTCAAAACCGACGAGCTCCTCGATATGGGCGGACAAGCCATGCAGATAAGGATGGATTCCTTTCGGATCTTTATTCGATGTCACGCTCTAGAGTGCATGGCAAGCACTTTTGAGCCATCAGACTGTTATTATGAAGTTCGGTATGCAATGAAATCATTTAATTGGAACCACAGTAAGGTCGCTCAAATACATAAACAGTATGCCGATACAAGTCTCATCTACTTGAAATTAATAGCTGCTGTAAATGCCTTGAAGACGAAGCCACTCCCTCAACTACTGTTAGCACTTATTCTGTACGATCGTTACCTATGCATCGTCGTACCTTACGTCGGCTCGCTATCGGGTTATAGAATGACTGCCAGTGACATCACCAGCCCAACCGAATTTTAGTAAAAAATCGTTTAGATGTACATAGAATTTTGAGTTTGTATTCTGAGCAACACAATCGAACACTGCTGGCAAAAAAAAAAACCTTCAAGCATAGGCTTAACATCACCTTTACATTAATGTACGAAGGCACGAAATATAGAATTTTACAAGCATAAGGTCGTCTGCTCTTTTACCTACTCTTATATACTTCTTATAATAGCCAGCCATTTACATGGACGTTTTCAGTCAGTCAAATATTTCTTTAGCGTAGGACTTAATGCGAATGAAAACAGAGCATTTAGTGTGCGAAAATTTCACCTAAAAAACCTGGCAACGATGTTGTACGACCATTTGCCTTGACGATCACACTTTCAATATTTTCTGCAACACGCGATATTCAATCATGACATTGTAGTAGGAAGTGTCCAATGCTTGCAGGTGACCGAAATCCTGGGTTCCTTCAATTTTGTGGAAGTGTAGATTTGACGAAGTTGGCGAAACGTCGAGAAATAGTTGTCGTGAAAAGATATTAGGCGCAAATGCGAGTCTTTGCTATAGCTGAAAACTTGCTGAATCGAATTCAGCGCTCGACAACTTTGCCGAGCAACAATAAGCACGACGTTTTTATAGACAGAGACTTACTTTCTCTTCGCCCGTTCAAGGGGCGAGAAGTACTTTTGAAGGTTTGAAGGATCACGGCCAATCATCGTTGGCAAAACGAGGTGAATGCAGAGTTATAAGCTAGGGTTGTAGCAAGGTATATCCTTTGGAAGGCGCATCCAATTTAGCACAAGCGCGGAGACTCTTCAGTGTGCATGGTGGTCTGGACTTTATCATCTCTCGAGTCAGGCGTAATCGCATACATCCTCTACTCAATCGCTTTATTCAATAAGCGACTACAACTCAACACCTCTGACAAATCAGCTTCCATCTAGCTTGTTCGTTGTCCTCCCAGCATTGTTTCAGACATTACTGATATATACTAGATAGACTTAGAGATTAGATCGCAATGATATCGATCAGTCTGGCTTGTGACGTAACGTGTGTGCACTGCAGTGCTGCATAGATACATCGACTAGTATTATTACATAACCCTTCATTGTACAGAAACTAATTGATAGTTTCAAATACATTTCCGATACCATTTGTATTCCGAGTTTCGAGCCACATTTTTTCGTTTCACGAACGCTTGCTTTCAATTGTCTTGTCCCTTGCTTATTGAGTCTTCTTTGTGGCACAATCTCCTCAGATTGTGTAGACATTAACACTTCCATTTCTTTATTATTTGCTGAACACCCAGCACTAATTTCACCAACACAAACCGGCCTTGAACTCGATGAAGTGATATCGGTAGCCGATAACCCCCAATCGCTTCATCTCTTCGATTTTTGTAATAAGCTCTCAAGTTGAGACTTATCTTTGTCGCTATCCACGACTAAGGTTTTTTCGTCATCACGCAGTTTTTTTCTCGACAGTCCTGTTGTATAAGCGCTTCACAATTTTGGGACGTCATGGCTGCTCACTTGGAACGGTGACCAGAAGACTTTTGAACAGCTAAGCCTAATCCGTTTGAGTCGACATCCCACTTTTCATGCTTGAGTTATTACCGAATTCCAGCAAAACTCTTATTTAGTGCCCACCTTATGATCAATCGTGCATTCGACATGCAGCTTCGCGGTACGTTTGCACTTTGTTTCATTATGCTGAGTGATGAAGAACAGCTAAATCAATTTGTGGCCTCTAGAAACGTGATTGCTGCTGACACTCTCGGACCCCATTATATGATTGATAATTTCTTTGGTCATATTAAGTGAATGCAAACGCGAGAAAGTTTCTCCAACTGGAATATTGCGACTCATCAAGCTATGACAGAACAGGACAGCACGATCGATCCCCAATACAATGAAAACAATTGAGCAGAAACCCCTTGCGTTGCACGTCATCTTTGGTATCCCTACCAAACACTCGGGCCTACCACATGATATCCTCACTGCTTCAGACAGTAAAGAGTAAGGCTATAGTGGGGCTGCCGTAACTAAGCGCTTGAGGAAGCGTACTTTAGGTCGCCGACATTTCGTTCTTTACAAGAACCAAGTATGAGTTAGCGGATCGCAATCCGCTTACTCCAAG